CTCGTTTATAGTTACTGCCTTCCCCCACAATTTGACAACAATTTTTCTAGTTAAAACGAACGAGCTTCTCACTTACTTATTCTTTCTTTCAAAATGAAAAATTTATAGAGGGTTAAAGCGATTTTCTACGTGTTCCACGAGAAGTTAAAAATATATATAAATGGCCACGCGATCCGTTATTCCACATATTCGATGGAGGCGTTGGAGAGACAATTGAAAATTAAGGCACGTATCGCGCGTTCTCCACACGACTCGTAATATTGAACGTACGAGAAAGAAAGTCACCCGGACTTTCTCTGTTTCTTCGAACTGGAATTTCGGTGAAAACTCACGGGTATGTGTATATATATATACCCGTTGTCCACGGAGCTTTGATTCTCCGTGTATCCGTTTCCATCAATTTTGTGGGCGACAGTGAAACGTCGATTGTCATTGACCCGACAAAATTTTTGTCGCACTCGAATTGTTCGAAGGAATTCGAAAGTGTTCAGTTTTAAGTATTTATAGCTCGAATATATGAAATGTACGAAATACTCGAATGATACTCAATTTAACATAAGTTAATTTTAATTTTATTTATGTATTAATTTTTTATTTTTATTTTTTTTTTACTGTTATTATTATTAAATTCATTTGTATTAGAATTGCGTGGAATTTTTATTTTATTATTCTTGTAACGATGATAAATAATATAAAGTTAAAAGTTGAAATTTGGAAAATTTTCAATTTTCCGGAAGAACAATGAATTGTTTATATTTTTCAAAATAAAAAATTTTTTATCGAATTTTAGTATCGTAATATTTAACTTTAATCGATAAGTTTTAGCGAAGGATATTTCATCGAATTTTTCTTTTGTATATAAAAATAAGAGATGTGTTAGAGAGATAGTTAATATTTTAATAGAAACGGAAAACTTTTATTTTATATAACTTTTTCTGACTGACGTTCATTAGAATTTTTTCCAAGTACTCGAATACTCGACTGGAAAAGAAAAGTCAACATTTTTTTGAATCACTTCCAACTTTCAATGGAGAACAAAAGTTGTTCCCCATAAATGTGTTTCAAGACTTTTAAAGACTAGAATTCATTGGGAGGAAAAAAAAAAAATATTGTAAAATAAAGACAAGAATGGAAAAATAAAGGAAATATGCTTCAAGGAAAAAGAAATTTTAATTTCGAAACTCTTGCCGTATATAAAAAATTCATTTGACTGAAACTAATTTTCGTTTCAAGCTTAATTTAGAACGTTACTTTTTTTTTTTTTTTAATATCAGTTGTACGACTTTAATCCCCACCTTATTGTAAATTTTTAAAAATCCTTCTAAACTTTTATTTTTTAGTATTCTGTTTACTAATTTTCAAATTTTGAATACATTATTTAATTCAAATTTGTTTACAATTCTTCCACGAATAAATATATATATTTTCATTTTCATTTATATGCATTGAGTCATAATTAATCATAATTGAAATTATCAAACCAGATTTAAATAAAAAATTAAAATAAATTAATTTCGCAGCTTTTTTGTTTCCCAATTAAAAATTTGTAAACACTTTCGACAAAATTAAAATATCGATTTTATTTCACCTCTTTTTAACATTTTGATAAAAGAGAATAGTTTTAAAAGATTTAATAGCGAGAAGAAGTTACAAAAAAATTATATCAGGGATAAAATTGATATACGAAGCAAGGAAAAAGAGAATGTTATCAAAGAAAGGATGTAAAGAATTGAAGAAGCTCAACTCGACAAACAGTCTCTAAAGCCTAGTACAATGTACAATGAAACAGCAAAGTAAATAAGAAGGGATAAACGGGAGGGGAAGTAAGGAAAACGGAAGAGAAATTCATTTACTGTAACTTGCTTCAACCAAGAGCTTTTAGCTCCTTTTAGTAATTGTTTTCTGTCAATCGACGTATCATTGTATCCCATACATACACGATCTATCGTTATTTTATAAATAATTCGTTAAAATTCTATAAACACTAAAAGAATACTAAATTAAACACATATTATTTCGATTACTCAATCATGATATGTCTACAACATCGTTTCATCGTAAAAATATAGGTAACTCTCATACAACTTAATAACTCTCTGTACTTGTATTTTATAAAATCAATCATAATTTCATTAAATATGATTTTGATTCAAATAAAGATTGACTCTTTTGCAATGTATAATATAGAAATTTAATAATCTCTAGAAATTTAAAAAAAAGAAACTATTAATTACAATTTTATTAATCGAAAATTCGCTTTGGCATTTAAAAAAAAAAATTCACTTTTACGTATAATTTTCTTCAAATTTTAACGAGCTCATCCCATGTTTAATTCGATTCAAATTTTCTTAAATAAATATATATTTCCTATATAATAACGTATATAATAATTATTAGGACGAAACGTACATTCACGTTTTACGCGTAACGCGAGTCTTGCATAATAATTTTTATGTAACTCAAGTACCGTGTCATACGAGAGTTACCTCGACGAGAGTTAGAGTCCCAATGATATTCTACTTAAATATGTCTAAAATCGCACGTCGAAAACGTGAATTTTTGATCGTTTTTTTTTAACATCGAAACGAACATCCACAACGACAAAGAGGTAAACGATTGGTTAAAATTAAAAATCGTCGAATATACTTTTATACTTTTCGCGTATTAAATATCGGTGACTAGAAGTCCTTCCGGTCTAACGGCTTGTTCCTCCATCAACTTAACGTTTGCTTCTACTTTGTCGGACAACCAATATGTTTCCATGTTACCCTTACCCTGCACGGAAACGGTAAACTAACGAATTACACAACCTGGAGGGGAGGGGAGGAGAAACCTAAATTAAAAACTTTTTGTGATACGAACCTTGACCCAGACCAATCCGCGTGATTCAACGTGATAGCGATCCAGCGATAATAAGGCTTTGGCGTCAGACGAGATGTGCACCCTTCCTGGCTGTAACGTGGAAATTTCGAAACAAATTTAAATTGACGTTAAAATTATAGCAAAGGAAATGGGAGAGTAATAATAATTTGTTAATTGATAATAATTTGAAAGATAATTGAATCATTTAGAACGAAAGAAAAGATTTTTTTTTACTTTTTAAATATTTTAAAGTGAAGAGTATTTTAGCTAGGAATCGAAGAGATGATGATTCTTGAATGAAAAATGAGTATGGAATAAATTTGAAAATTGTATGTAATTCATTCAATTTAGATAAAAAATTCACTCTGCAAACAAAGATTTTATTGTATATTTTTTTATTTTTTTTATTTTTAAAATCAAAAGTCTTGCTTTCTTTTCCAATATTTCATAATTTTGGTGATATCATAAGAAATTGTGTAAAAAATCTGTGTGCAGAATTTATCTTTATGAAACAAATTCTTTTTAAGTAAAATTTAAATTAATTTTAAAGTTTAAATTTCAGTTCATAAATCTTAAATCTTCAGCAAAGAATAAAGAGTTTCGTTTTTTTTTTCATCTACTCTCTACTTTTTTTTTATCTTTTTCCAATCTTTCCATTGAGATTTAACTTGAATAAATCAACTTACCAGGCTAGTCGTTTGCATCCTAGAAGCAGTATTCACAGTGTCACCGAAGAAGCAATATCTAGGTACTTTGATGCCAACCACACCTGCCACAGCTGGTCCAGAATGGATTCCTAGGAAAGTAAAACACACTTGTATGCAATTGTGTTCATTCTCTGATTATTCTCTCGAGAATAGAAAGACAAATCTAATCTCGCGAAGACAAAAGAAAGAAGCGACGAAGAAAAAAAAAAGAACAAAAAGGAAAAAGAAACAAAAGAAAACAGAACAGAATAGAGCATCGATTATCCAAAAATAGGATAAGTATTACTTTTACTTTTGATTCTATCGAAAAACGTTTAATTTATTTCTTGTTTATATATTCTTTTAACAAATAATAACATTGTTAAATTTTCGCTCCACACAAAAAATAGAAGTGAAAAGAATTTTTCTTTTATTCCTTCCAACTAATATGTAAAAATTGTATTGCTATTCCAATTTTTGAAAGAAAGAAAGAAAGCTTCGATTTCTCAATCGATTTCCAATATTTTTCACGAAAGTTTGAAAGCAATGCGAGCTTATTTTAAATGAATCTTATCCTAAGTTACCTATACGAATTTGTATATCTAAACCAGAGGGTAACTTAAGGGATCGAACGTGTTTTAGCAGCTGCAACGAGACATCCGCGATGTTCTGCGCATGATTTTCCGTTCTATCAGGTGCCCCACTGGCTGCCATATAAATTCGACCGACAGTTTCTACCTGTTGAAAGTCGTAAAAGTAGAGTGTATCACGCTGGGCTGGGATACTTATTTTCCTCTTATTTTATTCCACTCCTAACGGTAATTGGCAACGTTTTCGTCTTGTTTGGACACTTGTTATGCTTACTTTGTACACGTTAAACTCGTCCATCAGCGAGTCGAAACAGGAGAAAACGGCGTTCATCGACGAGACAATATCCATTGCACCCTCGATCGTCGAGTAATCGAAGTCGCACAGCTCGCAAAATAACACGGAAATAGACTCGAACGACTAGAGAATATTGAAACAAACTCATCGTTGAAAAGTTTATTACAATCTTTTAAAAGCGTTTTCAATTTTAGAAAAAAAAAAAAGGAAGAAAAAACATTATAACTTTCGTGTTACGATATTTTCTATACACATTTATATATTCCCTTTCGATTCATTCGACTCTGGGATAAAAATCAAATCCCACGATAAATCAATTTCATATCCATATGTGACTGAATATCAGATTAAAACTCGATATAATGTACAGAGCGTGCCGTGAATAAATTTTGCATCAAAAATTTGAATAAACATTATATATTTTGGTGAGAAATCTCGTTTACAAGTGATAAGAAATTTATGTTACGTAAAACTTTAAAAATTATTGATCTGACAGATGAAAGTATATATCATAGTTTTTAGAACTAATTCCAGGTTTTAGTAATTCAAATACAAAACACAAATTTTTTAAGTTAAAATGTGCAGTCTATTTCTGTGAAAATTATTATGCTAGTATCTCATATATGAGTCACCAGAAAATTAATTGTCAGATATTGCAACGAAGTGAAAATAATTTATTCTGTTATCGAGAAATAACAGATAATAATGCTTATTCAATATATAATAAGCAAAAATTTGTATGTTTAGTACAACGTGTACAAAAAAAAAAATAATTTTAACTATAAATCGGAGACAAGATTAAATAGATTACAGGATATGCATTGTTATATTCGTATGAAGAATCAATGTCTTCGATGTTAAAGGACGCTCTTTATATTTGTAACAAATCAGTTATATATAATTCTATTTCTGATAACAATTATTATAAAAAAAAAAATAATAAAATTATATATATATATTTCAAGAGATTCTGAAATACCTCACAAGTGCTTAAAGGACTGGCGCCAGCACGCAATCGATCTGCGACAGTCTGAGGGATCATAGAATACAAAAGTTCGTCGCTCTTGTTCTTCCAACGATCCAATAACGCGTAGCTGTTCTCCAATTCCGTGGATCTTTGTTCCGCTCTCTCGAACATCATCTCCAATCTGTCCAGACATGCACAGTGATAACATCGCATCCCGTGGAAAATTCTTTGCAAGTGTGTAATAAAATAACTTATCCATGTATATGTACAAAATGCAATTTTAAAATTTTCTCTCAAAGATTCAAATGTGCTTAATAATGAAAGGATTCTGTGAGACTTCGTGAATGATAATTTACGAGTAATAATAATACTTAAATATACAAACCAAAACAGATATTGAAACAATATACAAGTGGATTTAAAGCCAAATGAACGACAAATCTGTTGTTCATGATATATTTATAATTGCACATTGTCCTATTAAATATTTCAAACTCATGCAACAAGTGACAATCTATAAATTATGTACTGCCAAAGCTATCCACCCTATTAAAACCTTCTATCTTTAATGTGATAATTGAAACAAAATACCTTCAATAGCTTGAAATAACAAATCACTTTAAAACTTTAAAATCTGTTTATGTACATGCTATTCGTTATATTTATACAATAAGTGAAGTATGAAATAAATAAATCAAAGAAAACGACAGAATTTCCTTCACGAGACTTAAGACAGATCGGCCAATCTCATTCACTAGTTAAAAAATGATATTTTACCTTCCGCAGTGCTGCCATCCAGCGAGTACCAACTCACGGCTCAAACCGTGGGGATTCAGGTCGTTCAGGTACAGGCCCATGTTAAGCAATTCGTCTAAACTGTTAATTCTGTCGAAGTGATGATTTTATTAAATTTCTTCCCTTTTTGCTTCCTCTCCTCTTACGTTTCAACGAATATATTTTTTTACGAAACTTACAAGGGGCTACATAAGAAAATGATCGCTTTGAGATCCTCGATATATCTCATCTGACCTTTAAGCAGTATGCTCCTAGCTCCTTGACTACCTCGTCTGTCCAATCCCGTGCTCGTACTCGGTGTATTGACTGCGTTCGACGAAGCATTTTGATCGTTTAATCTGATCATCTCCAATTCGAACATCACCGAATGTAGATATATCACCTGTACATATACACGTTGCTTTATAAAGAATTATACGAATATTAAATTATTAATATATATTTTATTAAAAAATAATATTCATTTCAAATAATTGTATCTAATAATTTTTAAATTATCAATTAATAATAATCATCTATTCTAACATTATATAAATAGATTCTACAATAATTTCTAACATACTTTTGAAATCAGTATCTCGAATACTGAATTTCTTTGAATTTCTTTGAATATAACGTGAAAAAAAGAAATATAAGAATATTGTAGGTAATAAAAAAAAAGAAAATCTTACTCAAAGAGTATATTCATTTCATACAAATATAACGTGTCACTTCAGTGCAACATCTTTTTTATATCGGGAAAAATAAAAGGAAATGATGCCAGGAAATACGACACTCTCTCACTTATTTTTCACATAAAATGCTCCCTTACATTTCCCCACGTGAAGGATATTCCTTTAGGCCTACGAAGTTTAAAAACATCCGTGACGTGCTTATTCAGGATGGAGGAGGAGCTGCCACCCCACGCTTGCAGCAATTTATCACCAGCCCCTAATATCCTCATATCTTTGTCGATTATCGCACCAAATGGGAAAAGCCGTAAGAGAAATGAAATTGACACTGGCGCTAATTCACGGCTAAGTGGAGTTTTCATTCTATTGTTCTTCGCGATCTAAGCATAAGTTTTTTTAAATTATAAATGATTGATATTGATATACAATAATAGAAGATATATTCAATTAATGAATCTATTTCTATTTCATGGTTACCCTTTTTTTTTTTTTTTTTTTTTTTGTTAAATTTGAAATACAAAATACATATAAAGATCTTTTTTAAGAAAATTCTTAAAATAATTCTTTCTTCGTGCTTTGTAAAAGAAAACTTTCGTTGTTTTAACTTAATTGTTTGTTTTGTTTGTTTTAATTGCTCGATTATCAGTCTCACCGATTGAATTATTTATGATTGATTACTTACGTATTCACGATTGTCAAAATCGATTCTAAATTTAACCATCACGCTTCTGGACCCAGGTATATTATTAGAACTTCCTAATACACGTATGACCAAATCTGTCTCGTAAAGTTCTTTAGCTATTTGAAATAATTGACCTACGAAAAATTGTATTACATGCAAGTGAAACATGTGATAAATATTTTACAAATGTTATTATAATTTTTTCTAAGTACAATTTTTTCAATAATTTTACTCGAATGTTTGAAATTAAAATTAATCCATCTTACCCATAAGGTAATGCGTAAATCCTTTCCTGGTGCTTCGATAGACTAACTCTACGCCTTGTGGGTCGATGTGGGTCGTGTACATCGAGGGACTTTTCATTTTAGGATACGTGAATCTCATCTGCATGTGAATATTGTCGACGTTTTGTAGAAAGTCGCAAAAATAACGCCCAGTGGCTTTTATCATACAAGCATATCTGTTTACAAAGGCAAATAATTATCGTTGGATTTCGATTGAGAGAGATATCAACTTTATTTTCTGGAAATTTCAATTGCAGACGAAAACGGCACAAGCCGTTTCAAACGAAATCGTTTTCAAACATTATTTCATCGATATTTCCATTTTTGTATTAATCTCTTATAACCTTTATCGACAATTCTTCGTTAATAATTATTTTAAAAAATCGATTGATCGTTAATATTTTCAAAATCATATCATTAAAGTAATATAATAACCTGAGTTCATTTTGTATTAATAAAATATAAGATCGATAATAGTTTCATATTTCGAAATAATATTAAATTTTCATTTTTATAAGAAGAAACGTTAAAGGAAGATAAAGTATTCCTGTTAATACAAGAGAAAATGGAATCTGATTTCATTCAACAACATTTATGAGTTATAACCATCTAACGTTTCAAATTTACAATCGGTATAAACCACGCCTGCCTCGTGTTCAGATAATCATCCCTCTCGAGACACGGAAAACTGATAAGAGGAAATACTACTTGATCCCATGCCGCATAAACTATATCAACAATAACCATACGTATAATTGACATAACAGCCTAGCAAATCATTTTATTCTCAAATTTATTTTTATTATGAGGCACGGTTCGAAACGAATTCAAGTACTAGTTGAAACAGGCAATATGGCTTTCCATTGTTCAATGAGCAGTTTGCTAACGATTCCAAGTAGAGTATCGATTCAAATGCAATAAAATATTAATTGAGGCTTTTAACGTGACTTCGTCCCCAGGTAATAATTAATTTCCACATCACGTAGTTCTCGACGTATAATGGTAATTGAACCGTTTAATTAGCAGGAACCTAAATCCAATATCAGCTCAATCTAATCGTGCACGTGTTCAAACTCGTGCGACTAAATGAACACTTTGATTTTTCTTTTCTTTTCAATCATTAATCACTCTTGTGTTCGTTAAATTTTCTTAATTTATTACAGCATGCAATGATTAAATTTTTGAGAATTTTTTTTGTTTTTCATATATTGTAATCTTATTTAAGATAATATATAATTTAATTAAAATGTTTAAAAGTTTTTTGATTATATTATACTAGATTGCAATAAAATTAACAGATTTGAATGTAATGTACCTGTGGCGACATCTGCAATGGTGTTTATATAAGCTTAATTATAATTTAACCAATTCGACTATAATTATTATATACCATGAAAATTTAATTTTTACATATGACGTTAATAGATTAATAAATTATTTCTTTGAAGGATCGATTCTAGTTCTAAAACAAATATAAAAATTGATGTGCAATAATTTTGATCATTAAAACTTATTTATTAACCTATAAGCAATCAAAGTTTAGATGAAACGAAAATACTGGGCACAAATTTAAATTGCTTACAACTTGATGAATAAACTGTCAATCGACAGTTTATCAACTTTTGTTTTCCACAATCGATCCTTCAAAGGATATTCCACGACATTATATCGACATTTTGTAATAATACAAAATTGAAATGCATATTTATTTATCCGAGATATAAACAGTCTTATATCAATTTTCAAAACTTTTCTTATTTAAATTCTCGCTACTGTGTGTAACCCAATTACACTTATAATCCAAAATCGAAATTATGAAAGTTCACTTACCCTAGGTTGCTAAAAAATCTAACGAAACACTTTCCAAAGAATTGCATCACATTCTCCACGGATTCGCCATTAAATTCGGCCAATGCAGCAGCTAAATTGGTCATAAGCTCGTCCGGATACGTTTGTCGCGTGTTGAAGACCATATGCTTGCAATCAGCTCTTTCCAGTAGCTGCAGCCACATATCCTCCCCGTATTCTAACTGTAACGAGAATTTTATTGTCCCTCTCAGTATTAATAGTTTTTCCTGGAGAAACTTTCTCATTTTCTGTTTGTCACTTCTTTCGATACTTTTTAAAATTACAGTTTTCTTTTTTTCAAAAGGTTGCATCACGTTCGTGTAACATTTAACATTGAACGACTTGGTGGCATTCGAGGATCAAAAATTCCATTTCTGTAGAATTTTCATGGTTATGAAATGTAATATTATACTTATTATGGTAAAGGAATAAAAGGATGAAATTCAATCTTGGATATTTGAAATAAGTGTTTCGTTTCTGTGATAAGTAAAATTAAATATTTAAATATTTATTTAAATATGTTATAAGCAATATCTTAATATGACCTTGAATTGATTAATTGAAATAAATATCTGAATTTTGATGAAACCTTGTCCACAATAAAATTGCGATTATATTCGTGATGTGCATATCGTAGAAGTGAGTGATTGATTGATATTCATTTAAAAGTTTCAATCATTAATCAAAGAATATAAGAAATTCATTTTTTATATTTATTTCCATTATTAAATATTAATGGATAAAGAATAATATAATCAATTCAAGTTTAATTATATAAAATATTATATCAAATAAATATTTTCTACACGTTTATTTATCACTATGATGAGTAAAATAAATTTTCAAACGATATTTCGATAATAATTTTTATACGAAGTATTAATTTCATTGATGAAATTAAGATTTCATTTTTTCGAAGAAATTCTCTTTCGTTATTCAACGAATGCTCAAAAGATTTGTTGTTTAAACCTTTAAGGGAAAGGATTATTACTCGATTCCATTGATGTTATATTTCACACAGATTTTACTCTCCACAAGACGATTGATTTCCGATAAAAGTAGCTTAGACACGGTGACAAAAGACGATGTAAAAGGATAGAACGTGTAACCGTTTCTATTATGCTCCGGGGAATATTTCTCCCTTCATATTTCCTATTGTTCCTCCATCACGAAAAACAAAGACAAATGTTTTATATTGTGCAGCTCGTAGCGTTATTCATAAGTTATAATTATGAACCGAAATAAAAAAAAAAATATACACTGTAAAATTTAATACCACATGGCATTTTTATTATAAAAAAAAAAAAAGAAAACTGCAAGTGCAAAAATTTCTTGATTCATTTTTAATATTTATTAAATTATATTAATTATATTAGTAATTTTAATTCTTTACACTAATGATAGATAAAATGTACTGGAATTCTATATTGAAATATAGTTTATTATAACATATTATTTTCTTTTATAATGAATAAAATAATATTTAAGTTATAAGCTGTCAAATGTTAAATTATTAATGATTATTTAGTAAGATATTTAATCATCAGATTTTTAAATCGAATTTATATAAAATCAGCTATTTTATATAGAACAACTTAATAGTAAGTATTAAAATTCTAATTTGGAATATAAATCAATATGTTGAATAACGAAAATTCAATTAAATTTAAAAAGGTGTTGAGAAGCGGATAAAAAAATTTCTTTTTATCTTTAATAGATAAAAAATTATATTAAGCAAATAATCTTTAAATTCTCAAGTATTAATAATTAAGAAAATTTTTTTACAAAAATCTATCGATATAATTTAAATTACTAAATATACAATTAATTTTTAAACAATAACAAAATTTGCAGAAAATTTGCAAATATATATTTGCAAGTTTATAAAAGTGATTCCTTTTTTGATCGTAAAGAGAAAAATGATTTCAATTAATTCCTCTTGAAATAATATACAAAGAAAACATAGTATTAAATAAATATTTTATCAACTACCATTTATTTATTATCTGAATTATATCGCATAAAATATAATAAATGATTTTTTAAAATGTCAACAGTAAAGTTGGTTTGAATTTCAAATTATAAAATTAAAAGTAATAAATTCTTCATATTACATCTACATATTTATAAAAAAATGCTATAATATCACATGTATATTAATACATGAATTGTAGATGAATTTTAAACTGTAAAATTGAAAGCAAAAAATTCTTTTCTAACTAATCTAACACTCGATATTAATCACATTTTCACAAAAGAAAAACTTTTCCACATTATACGTATTTGTAACAATACAAATTAAATAAAATTTGTTATATTTTCTCATTTCAATTTCGTTTAATTTATTTTTAACCTCTTCCCTTCTTTCGTATGATTAATTCGATGGCCATGAAACGACAATACAATTGATACATTCGATATTAAAAATTCACGGAACGAATCACTTAATACGATACCAAGTGAACACAAAACTATTCATTCCACATATTTACAAGGAATTGATTCGCACAATCAAGCCAATTTCTGGCTCCCTATAGAATAATCAATGCTCCTTCTGCAATAACGACTCTGGTCACGAAAATTAATAGGAACCCCATTTAATGAAATCCCCTAAGGTTTAATACGTCAAGTGGACACGCACAAATTTATCGATCCGAACGAATCATCAATTTTTAATAATCGAATTTTTTCACAATTATCTGTTGTGAATTATAAAACGAAGAAGCGTATTAAGGCACGTTGAAATATTACTTCGAATAACATGTCATGTCATTTCATAATTTTTTCAGACATTTTATAAAATGACAAATGAAAAATTTAATTCAATTCTATAATTACTTCGTGTAATTATTCGTAAAATTAATCAAGGAATAACATTCCATTTTAGAAATACTAATTATAATTTCTCTAAATTATAATTTCTAAAATATTACCAGATCTTAATTTATATTGTACGATATGTAATGCTACTTCTTTTTGACATTATTTTGACTTGATTACATATCTTTGCCAAATTTAAATTAAAAGATAAGTTTATTATTCGAAATTATTCTCATCCTTAATATAAAATTTATCCAAACCTGTTGTTTCGTAAAATTACGAACGAATGATTTTCTGAAGGCAATAATTTTGGTGTATACACGATACTTTGCAAGATCTATTCAAAGGAACTAATCAAGACTACGTATAAGTACATACTAATGAACATAACACGGTCACGTTTCCATTCTCATGTAAGAGATTTACATGTTGCATTTACTTCGCTAGTTTCAGAAACTCTAAGCGTATTATTACATTAAACGAAGAGATGACAATTTTCTGAATAGATGTGAATCTCGTGTGTATGTGTGCGTACTCCATTATTATTTCTCTTCATTTATATACGTATAAGAAATATATGTATAATTATCCAAGCCTTTCAACTTACACAATGAACAGCATGACACAATGATGGCTGACGAAACGTCATTGATACATAAAATGTTACATTAGAAAAACAATTAACCGTCCTTTAAGTGATGGAATAACGATGCTATTTTTAAAAGCTTCGTACAATTAAGGCGTTGCACCGAAAGGAAGTATGAATCCATCCATATTCAGGTACCTCGTTTGTTGCGTACCTTCAGACCATTTCCTTCGTCCACTACGTGACTCTTTTCGCAACGACCGATTTTTATTTTTGGACGATACGATAAATCAACAATTTTGCACACTCGTTTGATAAACACATCGATAGGTTTCATCTTGTTCCTGTTTTGCACGAATTAAAAGCAAAAGCATTTTTCTGATGGAAGAATCTTAGAAAGAGTTTTATTTTGTTTTTCGTTCGTACGAAATGGCAGAGAAAAAAAAATTCTTAAACAAAAGTAAAGAGTTTTGTTCCTGTTTGCATACACAAAATTCAGATGAATTTAATACTAGTAAAATATTTTGAACGGTATTAAAGAATTTCATTTATTATTTTTATTCGTACGTATAAAATACAAAAAGTAAAGATTCGTTACGTATAATAGAAAAAAGCTGTTGAATAGCGTCAAAGAATTTTATCTTGCTCTTTTTTTTTTGCACGTAAAATTCGATGTATGTAGTGTAAAAAAAAAAAAAAAGAATTTTCGAACGAGTCAGCGTTTTCGTATCAAAGAAATTTATGAAGCAAAGATTCAGTGCATGTAACATGGTGGGGGGGGGGGGAAATTTTTCGAATAATATCAAATCAATCTTTTCCGTAAGTATGGTTTTATAATCACGTAATCGAGCTCGAGCAGAAGCGTGAGTGAGTTTGAAAATGCGCGAAAGATGAAGGAAATTTATTTCACTTGTCGATACTTAAACAACTTGGGATACTTAATCAAGAAGATTAAGAACGGACGTGAATCTTTAAAGCTGAGAAATGGAGGATATTGGAGAAAGCTATCACGTTGCAGATCGGATCATGTTCTTTTATGGTTTCTATTCGCAGAAAAGTTCTTTTCGATTAATTTCTTTTATATTCGTTCAATGCATCCTCTTGGATGATTTTTATTTGTGTTAATGTAATTACGTATCTCATTAAATGTAATTAAAATGGAACTTTTCAAGTAAATACACATAATATATAATACCATTAATAGGACAGTGTCATTTTGAATTATGTATCATTATATAGATATTGATATAAATGTTATTAAATTAGAAATATGAAATGATTTTTACAAATTTTTCTGGAATAAATATTTGAAGAAATTGCAGAGAAAAATGTAAATGTGTATTGTAACATTGCATCATTGAGGAGAATTTTAATTAGAAATAGCATATTTAAATAACACCGTTATTTAATCCATTAAAGCTAAGCAACGAATTAATGAAATTTTCACATGATTATTATTATTTATAGATTTATAAAAATATAATAAAAAAAAATATTTTAGAATATTTCTAATATATTTATCGATAATAGATTTTTAAAAATATTTTGTGTGTAAAAAAAAAATACACGTTATAATAATAAATGTTATATGAATGTTCAAATAAAATATAATTATTTAACAAAAAATCTATTTTTATCATTATTCAAATTTTTTAAATTTTATAATATGGACAATTTTTTAGTTGAAAGAAAGAAATTAAAATAAACAAAAAGTATTAAATGAATTTTTTAAATTCCTTTTTGTAATATACAAAGAATTATGATAGAATTATGTGCATGAACGAAATTTGAATCACGCGCACTGTTGGATTTTAATGAGATAAAGAATGAAAGAAACTTGAATATTATTAGCACTATTAAATGTTACTATTAAATGTTAATAATGTAATTGTTAAATTAATAATGAAGAATAAAATTAATTGATAATCTTTCAATTATAAATTATCGATATTTAAAGGACTAAAGAATTCATAAAGAAATTGTATATAAATTATTTATTGTTAGCAATAATTATATACACAATAGTACTAATTAAATAAATTGTCAGGTAATTGTCTTGAATAAATAATCATATATACAAAAATTACATTATTTTATTGTTTGAGATTTAATGGATTAAATGTGGCAATAAAAAATCATTTATTTTTGATTAAGTTCTTAAGCACATTATTCTTGTACTTATTATAGAGTACAAGATTATATATTACTTTGAACATTATATTTTTATGATAATAATGTATCATATAATAACAACAAATTACAAATTAATAGCGTGATACATAATATACTAGGTGAAAAAGTGTAAATATTTGCAATAGCTGCAAAAACTTTAAAAATTTATTCACAATCACCTGCAATTATTATTCTCTTATTTTGCTCTCTAAAAGCAAAATCAAAAAGTGTTTCTTTTGTACGATACACGTACTCACATCATGGAACATAATAATGCCGCAATAAAAAAAGAAGTAATACAATTTAACGAGAGAAAATATCATTGCAGAGAAGTTTTCATTATCAGTTCAATTGATACGAATTAGATTGACGAAGTATATACAGGGTGATTCTGAAAATTAACAATAAGACGAATCACAATTAATTTTTAAATGAAAACAAAATGCTTTGAAAGATTTTTATTGTCTTCAAATATAAAAGACATTTTATTCTGTTCGTTTTTTTAATCTTGTCATATATACTTTGTACTTTTTTATCTTTTATGTAGATTTAAATCGTTTCGTATATTTTATACAGATTTAATTATTTTCTCTACAGATTTAACTTGTATTTCATACGATAATATTTAATTATATCTTTGCATTTTAAGCTATTTGTCAAACCAGGAAACCTATGTGTATATAATGAAAATGAATCTATATGTATACGTTACCAAATATTTACATATATATTCATAACAGGAAATCGTATTTGATCGAAGCAAAATTTTGAGTATGAATATTTCGAGAGCTATTTTTATCATTTAAAAAAAAATTCTACAATTTCATTAATAAGGAAAAATGCAATTGTAATTTATAATAATTTGATTAATTTACGATATTTGCACCAAAATTTATCCAATATTTTCTTTCTTTCAACGAGTTATCAGAATCACCTTGAACACAAGCTGTTTCCAAGTATTTTCATCCCTCTTTATTCCTATTTTCTTCTTTACTTCTTCTCAAAGTAATAATACCTTATCTCGAATCAAAGAACATGCGATTCTATTATTTATAAATTCTCTTCGAATTCTATCTATTGCTTTTATTAAAAAAAATAAATAAATAAATAAAAGTATTTATAAAACATGCGCAACCCTATTCTACCCGCAAACGAAACTTAAAATTATAATGGATATTTAAAATAATACAACAACTCTATGCATACATACTTTACCTTCAAATTTGTATTAAATTTACAACAAAACAAAATTTTCGAAAAAATTGTTACACACTTTTGGAAAATTTCCTAAAATTCTTTTCCTACCGAACAAACCATAATTATTCTCCTTTTCACCACCTTATCATTATCCTTTGAACTCAATAAATCCTACTAAACCTAAAACCTACGAAACAATATCGTATAACGGATCAGATCAGATTTACCTTCGAAACAAACAACGAGCAACAAAAACAAAACTCTGTAGCACTCACTCGAACGAATCATCATCATTCCTCCTTCACCCCAATCACGTTTACCTGCACGAAGTGCTGCACACTCTCCAACAGCATGCCGTACATTGTGTTTCCGCGATGCGTTTTTTTACTTCACCACCAAGTTGCGTGCGCATTCATTCAAATGGGTGGACAGAAGGATCTTTTCGCGGATCGTTTTGGAAAAAACGATGAAAATCGCATCGTCGCGCCGCCGCATATCCCGTCGTCAATCAAGTGTTTCGCGCCATTGCACCGCGCCTCATGACATCTCGGCTGTTGCGCTCCTCTCCTCTTCTCGCTTCGCCTTGTGAGAGCGCGGAGAGGACTGTCCGCATCGGCGGCGCGGTTAACTTTGAGTTTCAAGCCGCGAGGGTTAGGCTCCACGGGAAGGGTGGTTGAGAGATACGCGCCGACTGCGTGCGCACCACGCATCTTGCTTCCTGGATCCTTTTCAAACGTGTTTGTTCCACGTTATACAAAGGGGGGAAGAGCTACTCCCTCCCTCCCGCGGAACACGACGTGTGTGTCCAAGTGTGTTTTGGTCCGATTTTTTCATTCCACCAGGGGAATCTCGATTTTTTTTTATTTTTTTAATTTATGAGAGAATAATCGTGAAATGGTTCCGACAATCCGCTGTAACATTATTTTCCGCTGTAAAAATATTGGAATTGGATGTGTGTGTGTGTGTGTGTGTGTGTGTGTGTGTGTGTGTAGTACTCTGTAT